CCCCAAAACCCCAAAACCCCAAAACCCCTTGTGCTATTATTATACTTGACGGCGATGACATATACATATATATATTTAAATAATACCAAGTGACAAATAATTGTGGAAGAATGAAATCACTAATCTCACTTATTACACTTACATTCTTGCTATCTAGCATATAAGGCCAATCCTAACCCAAACAAGATGGCCCAAAGAAAGTACTAGTATATGGCTCTTTTCTAAACGGCCAAGTAGATTTCATGATTGATGTTGCAGCTACTATTGCCTCAAAAGGGCCAGAATAGAGGGAGGTCTATTAGTTATTGCCAGAGGGGTCTTAAAATATAGAATATGTTAAGACGTTGGACATCAACCCAATCGTCATCCCAGGCTATACTCAAGACTATGTTAATGAGCAAAATGAGTTGATAAGAAACGGAGAAGTTGCAGATCAAACTAAGTTCTTGAAGGAGCATGTCAGCTATATGTTTAACGAGCAAATTGACTTATTGATTGATCTCAAATCGCAAAATTTCGACATGCTTATTGTAGAGAGATATGAAGATCAACAATTCGTGGCTAATTTCCTAGAGATACCAATGCTAGTTAAAGTAATTGAAAGAGTTGTGGAGCCTATAATAATTCAAGAAATTGGAGGAAACCCATCTCATAGTTCTTAACTCAGTACTCTTAGAAACACTTTGTTTGGAATCTAAAGATATGAGACCCTAGAAGATAAGCAGCTCTCTTTCTTTTTCAGATTCTTCAATTTCGTCTCTTTTTTCCTGCACAAGGCTTACTTATATCCAAGCATTCAATATGATTTAGCAAGTATCATTCCAGACGAGTATGTTGAATAGGCAACCACTTAAAGATATGCAAACATGACAATATTTACTGGTATTGAAGGCCTTATCCCACCAATCGCAGTTCCACCTTCTTTGAAATTCATCTATCCTAGATATAAGACCTAGTATTAACCAGAATTTATGTAAATAGATCAAGAGCTTAAAGATTTCATGAACAAGAAATTCCCAAAGTAATTAGCTTTAGCAACGTTTGGAAATACCAAACAGCCAAATGTTTATGATCTTGACAACCTAGCAACTTATATGGTAAAGTAAAAATAAATAGGTTTCATTGTATCGCTCTCCAACCCTTAGAACTATCCAGAAGAGGTTTTGAATAAACTCTCTGAGTCCTCTAACATTTACTTGACTGGCTGGGTACCTCAATAAACTATCTTGAAAGATGAAAGAGTTAAATTATTCTTCACTCATGGCGGTCTAAACTCCTACTATGAAGGTCTAGAGGCAAGTAAAACTATGATTATTATTCCATTTGAACAAGACGAGCAAGCTAGATTCCTATGTGATTTCGCTCATCTTGAGTAATATGGTTCTTGTGTCTATCAAAATACCATAAGCGAGATTGAGGAAGCAGTTTAAAGAGCAATGAAAACCAATGGCTATTAGAAAAAGGTGTCTTAGCTTTCAAAAGTAGCCAAGAAATCCAGTGAAAGCAAAAAGGATCTTAACTATTGGATCGATTATTGCTTTAAAGTTGGCACTAATCACTTAGCAATGCCTCAGTATCAGACAATGAGAATTGATTAGTACTATGATTTGGACTTGCATTTCTTGCTATTCACTGCTATTTTAGTGGGTCTCTATCTCATTTACATTGCTATCATAATACTAATATTCTTGGTTAAGCTCTTAATAAGATTTGTCAAATATGTCATGGTAAAAGTTAAGGAAAGAAAGGCTAAGACTGATGAGCAACAGAAGGAATAGAGTGATAATGACAATAAAGTTAAGAATGATTGATTCAAGCTCAATCTTAGATATGTTACTTTTAACTTTCAATTTAACTTTCAATTTCATCATGCTTTGACAATTTTTACTATTTTGGGATTAGGGGTTTTGGGGTTTTGGGGTTTTGGGG